AATGCATTGGTTTTAGCAGTTTTTCAGGTGGAAGTGCTGGCTGAAAGGAGGCAGGCGGTCAGACCGGCATCCCACTCGTCCCATTGCGGGGACCTTTGGTTGGCACTGGCGAGGCAGGGACATGGACACGGCTGTTCTTGGATCGGGTCTGACTTCAGGGTGTTTCATACAAACTTCGAAAGCTCTTGGTTTCATCCCAGCACAGAGCAGGAAAAATTCTGTAATAGCAAGAAGCTTCAGAGGATGAGAAAGCTGTTTCCTGCCCTATACAGTATAGAAGTCAGCGCTCTGTATCCTGGGGCTATTTTCTAGTTACAGCAATATCCTTGCTCTTTTTTCGTTTCTTTTTCTTTTATACTTAAGTCCATGTTTGATTTGTTTCCAGGATTCTATTATCACTAATTAATATCAGAAGATATTGCTGATTCGAAGGAAGATCATTTCTCAATACCAGAAGTGTGACTTGTTACCAGCTAATACTTGCAAATAGCCTGTGTTTCTGATTTTTATCCCCAACTCTCAATCATGATTCTTATCAGATAACAGGGAGGAAGAACGATTCTTTGTTTCCAAAACCTATTATTTTGTGTAGTTAATGAGGTAAGCCAGAGAAAGAGTTCAGTGCATGCTGAAATAAGATGTCATAAGGAATGCAGGGGAATTATTGATGGATTGTTTTAACGAATCTAGTGAAAACACTGAATTTATACACAGCTGAAACAGTTCTGCTCTATAGATATCTTTCCATTTTGCTTGAAGTCTTAATGAAATAAAAATACAGAGCTCTTGCTCTTGATTCCTATTATTAATTTGCAATTTTCAAGGTTGTCTATTTAAAATCCTTTCAGTGGTCATAGGCATTTCTCTATTAGCAACAATCGCTTAACTGTCGCCAAACTATAAGTACTTTCCCAAAGTATGTGATCATATTGCTGTTAGAATGCATAATTGTTTTCTCCGTAAAGAAGCTAAATTTGGCTTAACAACTGTGTCATGACATTAACAGAAAATGTCTGGTGTGACAGGGCATGGCGTGGACACTGCACTGAAACGCTCATAACCACAGCTCATTTAATTGATCTTCTGAGGGGGTGAAATATCACACTAGTCATCTGCCTTTGGTTTTTCAAGCCACATCAAACAATTGTGTGGAGAAGTGAAAAAAAAGAAAAGTGCTAGGTTTTTTGATTTCATCGGTTAATGGCTGTAGGTCACTTAATACCCCTTTGTTTACCGTACAGTGATACCCCTGTATCTTGTAAAGGTTCACCAGAGTGACTTACTGCTGTGGTACAGGGCCTAAAATAAAACTTGCACATGCCAGGCACCACATGGTGCATAAAATATCCCAACAATATATTACAAAACCTTGTCAACACTAGGGAAAATGACTATTCCAAGAAGTAGAGCTGGCTGGAAAAAATAATTCTATTTCCAAAACAGGCCCTTATGAAAGACAGTGATTTGGGGAGCTGGAGGCAGAGAGAAGGCTTGCTTTCTTTGGTCTGGTGGAGAAAAGTCTCTTCCCTGGTTAATCAAAAATGTCAGCAGGATAAAAGAGAAGCCCACTTCCAGCTCAAATCTTCAGTGTTTCATCTCTTTCCTATTTCTCATTTTTGAGCAGCTGTGCTAAGAACCAGCTCAGCCCCTTGAGGAACTTGCCAAATATCTTGTATCTGCACACTGAAGCGCTACAACTGCTTTGTGTGCAGTTGTGTCCTGAGTGTCCTGAGCAGATTTGCTCTCAGCTACCTGTGCACCATCTTCTAAACCGTATCAGTCAGCTGGTTTAACGCCAGTGTGGAAGGAGTCATCTCTCTTCTGCTCTGTACAGCGCACCGAGGGGGCTTGCAAAACTCATCATAAGAAAATCCTTCTGTGAATCGTTCTGAAAACAGTGAAATGGGTATCCACAAAGAACGTGGCAATTTCTGACGCGAGACTTAATGACACTAAGCAAGATTATGATACTTCTTAAACTGAAATAGTTCAGCTAATACATGCAGCCTAGAAACGGATTTCTGTTGATTG